TTGACTCTGGGGTTCTTTCAAGTTATTGCAAGTGGAACAACTTAAGTCCATGACCCCCTGACACGTTCTTGGGGAGCATCCCTCCTGGCGCAACATCAGACCGAGCTTCTGACCGCTTGGATGCCCAAGATTTCTACGCAGCTTTAGTAAAAACGATTTTTTCCTCTGCTGACAGATTCGTGAACTTGGGACCATGGTCGTGACTTTGCAAATCGGTTCTGATGTGGCTCTCTTCAGGCATCTCTGTCGGCTCTGAGACTGGACATGCGGCAGCGTCTCGGAGACTGGGCATGTGGCAGGCGTGTCAACACTACTTGGCTGACATTGTCCTTCTGCATAAGGCTCTGTGAGTGTTCCCGTCGCCCCGGGACTCATAGGAGCATTGATCGAATCGTGGGCATTGTCGGACTTCGTCTGGGACGGGCTTGCGTACAGGGTGACGTTGATTCGAGCGGGGTGGGAAGGTCGAATGGATCGTCACAAGTGGTCGGGAGCGCTGAACCTGTCTTGAACCCAAAACGAGTGACCCCTGGTTTTGTTTCCTCAGGCAACGCTGTCGACATGGCTTGTCTGGCGATCGGACGACTCGGATTGAACCGAGCCTATATACTGTTGATGATTCAGTTTTCACGGCTTCGAAATGTCGGATTCTTTTTGACACAAGACCTGCGTTCACAGGATGTCCTTGGTTCTTCATGGTCCTGAGGTCCCGGCTTCTGAGACTCTCGGCACGCTTTTGCAATTCAAAGTGGCGAAAGTCTCGGCAGGTTCAACTTCGGCATTTTGACTGGTGGGTGTGATCAGGTCGTTGAGGTCAACTAGAAATAGTCCCTTGGCATTTAGCTTGATGGGGATGTTGCGTCTCAAAAGTGTGGTTTTGATCACTTCACCAGTCACTTCCACTGTGGCGCCGATTGCTCGGAGCAGCGTGTTGGATAGCAAAAAGCTTTTCGGCCTGGCACTATAGCGATCTTCAGTTTCAGAGGTCCGATTGGGACGACTAGTGCACGCCGGCTTTCTAGAGCGCCTTGATTTCCGAAACGGAAAACTACGGAACACTGACACCTTTGAACCTGCCTCCGGACCTCTGGTCTTAGGGCAGCTAGTAGATTGGCTACGAAACCGCTTCCATGACGGTCTTTGTAGCGCCGGTGTCTACGATTCCTAAGGCGTCTCAAGGCGAGAAGCTCGAGAACGCCCTGGCGTCTGCATCAACAATTCGGCTTCAGGTGACTGGACGGCGCTAGCAAACGTAAACTCTTGCAAGCTAGTCCTGACGGTGGGGCTCTTGAGGGCTTTGGTCATTCCCCCTTTGTGGTCTAAGTCAATGGATCCCCCCCTCGTTCGACTCCCTCAAAATACCCAAATAACTGATGTCCCTCTCCCCTTGACGGAAAAAATTGTTCTGAATTTATTGGAGTGGCTTTCAGCGTCTCTTCTGTCAGCTCTGGCAAATCCAGTAACTCAAGAGGCAATGCATCCAGCTCATCATTCACTGTCACCAGTGTGGGAGCAGCTGCTGTCGATGGTGTGGACTGTGATCCACGTTGAGGGCACTCGGCCTTCCAGTGGCCTTTACGACCACAGATTCTGCAGCTGCTCTCCATGATCCTTTGCTGGAGGCTTTTGCGATTGCCCGCATACTTGGATAAGAGGGTCGTTTTCCCTTGTCACCCCCTTTCCCTTTTCCTTTGCCTTTGTTCTGACTTGGCGGCCAGAAACCTCGATTTTTGAAGCGCTCTGACAACCTTCGACGGGCGTCCATGTAGGTGGATTGGGTCAGAGCCAGGTCTTCATTCTCCTGTACTGCATCCAGCATCGTGGACTCATAGTCCATGATCATGGCAGCATCTTCATCGCCTTCGTTGGCAAGACTTTCAATCCATTCATCTTCATTCCAATCGTCGGTCGTGTAGATGGTCTCGTCCAACGACTGTTCATGGACATCAGCTTCCTGTGTATGGAAGACATTTGCCTCATGTCTTTGTCCGTGGGTTGCTTTGCTTCCCACTGGAGTGAACCTCATGGAAGAATCGACTCCCCAGGAGCTTGAAATTGGCCACAACCTCCCTGTACTCCAGCAAACCCTGCAATTCAACAATTCTTTTTGTCTTCCGAGCTCAGGGCTGAATTGCGAAGCAAGATGTATGCACGGAACTGTCCACGCCAACAACTTTCATGCTCAGCAGCTCCTCGAACTGGTGGTCATGGCGAGCTGGGTAGCTCTCATGTGTCTCGTCGGCCCTTTGGACGGCGCTGTAGATAGCACGTTCGAACCTTTCGAACTTGTCCTCTGAACGGGACTTTCCCCAAATCCGTCCAAGGGCCTCAACTGGCCTTGACCTGACACCTTCCAATGTTCCAACCTGCAGCTTCGTGGGATCCAACCTGGAGACTCGCTGAAACGCAGATCCCCGGCACTGCAAAGCGACTCGTGGAGCCAACAGGTGAAGCTGCTCGGGGCCACAAGGATGCAAGGAACTCCACCTTCTTTGACCACTCAGTGAGGTCAGTTTCATGTCTTTCCCTTGAAATCCGCAGCTCTGAGTGACAACACCCCCAGTTCAATGTGCGACTTGTCAACTGTCTCACGTCAAACAATGCGTCGACCGACCAATGTAAGCAATGTCTCAACCGACCAATGAACAACTGCGCAACGCTCAACAATGTTCAACTTGGGTCCAATCACCCACCGGTTCAAGCAGCAACTCAACGGTCAACCAGCTTGTTTTTGGGCAGTGTGTCCCAATGTACAACGCTCACGCTTGTCAAGCGACCAATGTACAACGCAACCAAGGCAGGCAGCACACGCTCAAGCAGTCAACAACCACGCAAAAGGGTCAGGCGTTGTCTGGAGCTTTAGCGGTAGCTCCGCTACCAATGTGATTGACAGGCTGGTAGCAACAAAAGTGATCCTCACACCCTCAGCACAGTCGCGTGCTCCTTTCCAGTCTGTGCACCTGAGCGGTCTGGTTCGAACGAACGGGCGCCTCGCCCAGTACAGCGTCCTCGCTGTAAGCCTATGGCTCGAAGTCCTCTGGACCCGCCCACGCCACCCTGCGGCCTCGCGCCCGAATGGCTTCGGCAATCGAAACACCTTGGTCAAAACAGGTGGCATGATCCTCAGTGACTTCACGGATTGAAATTCACAATATATATATATATATCATATTTCATCTATGATGTACATCAATGCTCTTCGCCTCTTTATGAAATAGGCGTTGCTTGTTCCGTTGTTGTGACCTTCTTTGATTTGGCGGAAATTTCGACCGAGCTGGAAAACATGGAAAACGCAGGAGCCAGCCTGCACAGCCACATCACTGATTTTGTTGTGAGCAAGGTTGAGGGCGCTCAGGGTCTTGTTGTTCTTGAGTGCCTGGGCCAACACCTGGCAGCAGTGTGAGATTCCAAAATCACCTTCGGAAATAAATAAATGGCCTGCACACCCTTGTCAGTGATACCATTTGACGTCAGGTCGATGTGGGTGATGGTGGTGTTGCCCTTCAGCACCTCCGCGATCACCTGCCAACTTCAACCAACCAACCACCACTCAGAATCAGGAACTCGCCTTGGCACCAAGATCGCCCATGTGGCAGTACCGGAAGTCGAGGGCAGTCATCGAAGCGAACCTCCACACTGAGCAGGAATGGTTGAGCGCCTCACCGAGCCGACGAAGACGAAGACGAGGCCGACCAGGAGTTGCGCCCCGGATTCAGCCTCCGCCATGGCTAGTCCTGTGGCCCTCGGTGCAAAGGCCAGGCTCAACTTCTGGAGCTGCAACGACCCGAGCGCCTGCAAGGCGAAAAAGAAAACCAATCGACTGATCCAAAGCCTGCGCAAAATCATCCACGTTAGTAGGAAACACAAATAGTGTAGTACGGCACTAGCTGTCAAAAGCCACCATAAAACTAAAACACCATGTATACTACAATGTATACTAAGACTTATAAAGTACCTGGATCCTCCTTTGGGCGGAAAAAGTGCCGGACCTCAATCCGGCAAAAATTTCCGCCGGATTCCGAAAAAATGCCGGAGACTTGAAAAAACATTCGGATCCAAGATTCTGAAAAACAGACGTGATAAAAGGTTGGATCATACACAAGCAAACTGCATTTAGCTTTTCTGGAGCACACTCATTCCACAACCCAACACTGGAGCCTTCCCGTTCCCGTTGCCCTCGCCCATCTTCTGAATGGCCTACGAGCAGAACCATCACAAAATATAAGCAGCTTGTGCCCAAGCAAAGACTTCCAAGAAGAAACCAAGTATATGGCAAGGAGCCCCTCTTTCTCTGCAACCGTGTCTCTAAAGTGTTTTACAAAGTGGGTTGCTCTCCATGATTCTTATGTTTTTAAATGTTTCTTTAAAGCTTGCCTCAGGACGGCCCCCCCAATAAAGTAGCAGAACTCATGGTTCCTGTCAAAACTCTTCATTGAAAAACTTTTCAACATCAAAACCTGCAGAAGACTGAGTCTAAAAAATTACGCCGGAGTTACGGGAAGTCACGCCGGAGTTACGACGCACCATTTTTTAGCAACTCTCTGCAAAACTTTGAGGTTCTGAACAACACATGTTCCACAGCCCAAAACTTGTCCGGCAGGCTCTGCAAGCCTGCGCAGCTAGAACTATATGCCCGACATCCTGAAACAATGGGAGCACATTTTGGTGTATGTTCTTTCAGCTTAGGTACACCCACTTGGGTCTTTCAACACGTGCATCGCACTGTACCGGCTTCATCCGATTTCATTTGGAAGATCACCTAAACGGATCTGATTGATCCAGTGTGAATGAGAAAACGGCGGAACAGGCAAACGAGAACACGTTGCACACAAAATAATTGCATCAGTAGTGGGTTTACCTTCAAAGAAATGCGGACCACAAAGAATGCAAAGAGAATCCACATAAAGTTACTTGGAAAAACTGCCGGACCAAATCAAGAAAAACGCCGGAGTTGGAAGTCCGGCGCCGGACCCTGTAAAAGTGCCGGACTGAAGATCTAGGTATACATACAAAATATAATATATCTACAAAACTGTAGTTGCCCAACACCGTCCCGACCATGGACCAGCCTCGCAGAAGGCATTGGCCTCTCCTTCGCCTGCTCGGAAGCCGTGGATCTGCAATACCTTGAGGTTCTGAAAGTGGGGAAGAGATGCCGCCAGCTCCACCATGTCAGCTCGCGTCAAGTCCTGCAACTTCATGTGATTTCTTGATGTGACCTTTTCATGAAAGATCTTCCTTTGAAGCCGAACCACGCTGGTGGCGTCATTTCGATGTGTAAAGGCCGATGTGGCCATTCTCTCTTCAAAGACTTCGGGCGCTGTGGGCACCTTCTTCGCAGTTGTCATTATGCCCGGCTCACCATCGATGGCTAGATTCTGGGCCGGGATATTCCGGGCCGCAGACCATTCGATCTCGGCCATGCACCAGCCACGGCTCAGGTAGAGCACACGGTTCTCCCAGAGGTCTCTGAGTGAAATCCAGGCGATCGACCCACTGGGCAAATGGTACACGGGCACTTTGTAAGTGGAGTCTTCCTTCCTAGCAGTCCATGTCTCATCAGGTGTGAGACTTTCCAGGCGGAAAGTCAGGGTGCTCTGGTGAGCATATAACATGTGCATGTTGCCCATCGCTCGCCGGAAACTGGTCTCTTGCTCAGCTGTGTCGCGTTGGAACTGAAACAAAGACACATAATCATAAAAGATCCAAATGTCGTCGACGTAGGCAGCATCCCATAGCGCCACGCAGTTCACCAGAAGCTCCAACTGAAAGCGGCACGGATCAGGGTGCTCCCTAGTCTCCCACGCATGAGACACGGAAATAATCATGGCCTGCCTGCGGCCTAAAGCCCATTCGGCCACCTCCTGGTGGGATACCAGGGCTGAGACTTCCGTTCCGTTCACCTCGCAGCAATCGCGCTCCGCCTCCTGGCATCGCGGCATGCAGCGATCTGACCGTAGCAACTTGTAGAGGTACCTGGCAAGTTCGATGTTCAGGAGATCGGAGATGATATGCACCCACCAAAAAATGATGGTCTCAACAGAAAAAAAGTTCTGGGCTCGGGCACGGAGCCCTCACCAGGCGAATGTTGGCATCAATGAGGAACTGGGCCAAAGACTTTGGGTCTTCCAAGTCATATGCGGCCTGCCAAGCTGTGAATCCAAGCTGTGGAGCAATCCCAAGGTCGCACTTGGCCAACAAGACACACCAACCAAAAAGGCCTCGGGCCGCAGGAGGAATGGCACCATGTAGCTGTATACGAATCCTTGACCTCAGCTGTACAATTGCACTTCATACTACAGTACATTGGATGCTCGGCTGCTGGTACCGCTATACAAACGGTAGGCAGGCAGGTTGTTGAAGGCTGGACTTAAACCTGGGTCTTCCACCTATGCCGGACGTCTGCCTTTTTGCTGGTTGTTTTCCAATGAAAAATAATGAACAAGACCTAAACGTTGCACAGTTGGGAAGATCTCGGAATGGCCGATCCACTGGTCTAAGATGCCCACACAGATTTGTGGAAAGCCCTGCCCTTGACCGAGTCGCAGAACACTGCCCGAGTCCATTCAAAAGACCAAGCAGCGATTGCATGGCACATTTTTCAGCATCTCCTGCAGAAAAAATCATGAAAGTGAATCACAACCGTCAACAGGAAGGAACAAAACAGACATGTGATGTCGGATTTTGGAAATTAATGGAGGTGATTCCAACCGGAGTTGCCGACGCTTGGCCACTGCATTGGCCGACGTTTGGCGATGAGGGAAGAACGATGGTAACGATGGTCGAGATCGGTCTCCTCCAAGCGCTCCTCTGAGAAGTTGCTGCCTCAGGGACGTCTGGGCCAGGGCCGAAGATGGTGTGGCTTCGGTTGGGAGGCACAAAGATGCCATCCTTTTGCTGAAGACATGGACTCGATGAGACGGACGTCTGTTTTGGAAGGTTTGAACAAAGTTGGACCCAAATCTGAGTAAGGTCAGGATCAACAAATGGACTGGGAAAATGCCGGAGATCTTGCAGCTGACGTTATTCAGCCCTTTCGTGTTGAAAGCCAAAATGGAGACACATCTGGGGGAAAACCACTCGCGTCAATGTGGTACCAAGAGATTGCCAAATCACATTGGATAGCCCGTAGCCGTGGTCACCACAACGCTACACTTCCAGAAATGCTGTTCAAACCGCAAAAAGAAATTCTAGTTTCGTCTAATGTCAACATCTAAACATAATCTGCTAACTGTCTAGCTCCAGCTGCTGTTGTGTTGGCATGATCTTCCATAAAGGCTCGGACGGCAGAGCTGCAGGATCGTGGCAATGGTCCTCCGCGGTAGAACACCTAAGCGCTGAAAGCTGTTCGCTGGCCGCCACACCGATCGAATCTGGACGCAGAACTGTGGTATGTATGACTTATGACTTAGCCGAATGCCAAAAAATGCAAAACATTGCAAAAGTGCAACTGAACGTTCCTCCCGCATGCTTAAATCCAGAAAGTGACTTTAGTTTAAAGCCTATCAATATGCCTTTCATGGTCTGGATATTGATCCACTACTAGTACAAAAATTGTACAAAACATCCTGTTTCAAAAGTGCCAGGACACCTGTCTTCTGGGGATCAAAGAGTTGAAGAAACCGGAGAGCATCATGTACCTGCAAGCAACTCGTGACTGTGATAACTTACCTCGCTTGCCACACCCTGAAATGTCAAGTTTTACTTCGATTTGACAAACACAGAATATTGCATGACTCTGCGATCGTGCTCTGAAAAAAGGTTCCTCCCCGACGTTGTATCTAAGTATGTGTGTGTGCAAACTACGGTGGAACCAAATCAAGAGTGTCAGGTTCCTAGAAATCTTTTGCCTATACCTAAGCAAGGGGGGCCTTGAGCAATAGTTGATCCACAGGAAAGGAGCACCATAGCCGCGCTGCGGAATGCAAGGGGTTCCAAACAAAAATGTTTGGGTAGAAAGAGGGGAATGAGTCCGAGCCTGTAAGTTCATGAATGAGGATTCTACGAACTATTCCCGCAAATGCGGCCTAGGGGAGCCATATTCAAAAAAAACACAAAATTGGCAAGAACAGTCAATTAATGTACACTAAGTTGATCAAACATCGGTGCCAAACATACGCTCAAAGTACATGCCGACAGCGTGTTACAACGGTACACATAATGACTGTGGACTGAAAAGACTCCGTCTTCACACACTTGAGATAATGCATACTAAGTGAAAGAATTGCCTGGGTAAAACAGGTGGTATGTAATGCGGTCTAACCATCTCGAACTCCTGAAGTGCCAATACATGAAAACCTCCAACCCCATCATGAAAGCGACAGCAACTCGCGACTGCAGTGAAGTAACCGCTGCTAAGGCTGGATGAATTGTTCTACTTACAAGCAGGGACCATAAGGAAATTAGCTTTAGCGCTCGTGCAGGTACGCGCAGCTGAGCAGGCTGCATATCCGGAGGTCACCGTAGAGCTTCGTTGGGCACAGCTCTATGGATTAGGATTATTGTGGACTGGAACCTGCCGGAAAAATCCGTGGTTGAGCAGCCAAGAGAGAGATGGAGTTGTCAAGACTCCTAGGCATTAGTTCAACGCAAGCGCCTCACAAAGAGACAAGCTAATCACTGGCATTTCATCGGCTCGGGAGCCCATGGCTGTGCACAGCATGTCATGAAAACGCAGGGTGTTGTCGTTGGACAGCAAAAGCCTTCCCTGCCGGCGAGTGAGCGGCAGTCACAAGCATAGAGTACCGTCGAAGCCTCACAGGGGAATCATTGGTGACACCAGTGGCAACTGAATCGGCAAAGGCATTCATTTTGCGAAGATCAGCGGCCGGAAGACCCCAATCCAAAGATCAGGCAGCTTGTCGTGGGATGGGATCCACATCACTTGGACACCTGCTGAGACGCAGGTGGCCGTCATGGACCAAAAAGCATACGTCCCCATGCCAAAAACTCCGTCCAAACCTCGGCGAAGTCGTATGACTATGGCCATGTTATCTACTAGTAGTTGAACAGGCACCACTGCGCATTTGGCAGCCAAGAGCGCTTGCATCAAGGCCGTCCTTTCAGCTGCCGCCGGGGTTTGATCTGTGCCGCTGACCAAGCCACAGAACTCCGACCACAGCCCAAGAAGCAATTCGCACAAATATGCAATTAGGAGACATTAAACAACTAAACAGGCACGCCGGTCTATGGGACCAGTAGACTCCGTGGACGATTCTCGGCAGTTGACCTTGAGACAATTGGGCAATGAAAAGTCAAGCAGGATCTGCCGCAGCTACAGGCTTCACTGACACCTTTGCGAGCAAGAACTCGTGCATCTGTGGCCGCTGCAACGGCGACCTGTTGTTTATGCGTTAGACTTTAGACCCACCCTCTTAAATCAAGTTACGGTGAAATTCAAGATAAGGGTGAAGGGAGTCAGTCAAAGGGTTGTCAACTTTGGAGTCTTCATTGAAAAGACTTCTTTCCCAAGACGAATAGGCAAGTTTAAGGAAAGTTGCAATAATTGAAATCCAACCAGGTCGAATATCCGAAAGGGCCCAAACTCCGGCGCGTTGGACTTTCCACTGCAATTTAGTCATTCCTTCAGCGACCTGATTGGTTGCTCTGTAGGCGCGCCTCCATTCCTGCTGGAGGGTTTCCACTTCTGACGCAGCAAGCGGGCGGATGTTGAGGCCGGCCACAGTGATCCAAAACCAAAAGGCCGATCTACCTTTACACGAATCAGAACTCCAAATGGAAGCTTCAATGGTTGAGCGCCAGAGCCCCAAACTGTGTTTGGTATAGCGCTGCCATGGACCCGTCCACTTGAACAGCGAAACGATAAGAAGTTGCGTGAGAATTTTTGCGGGTTTGCAACGTCTTTGTCATTTGAACGCGGTGTGACCTCTGCATGATTTTTTCATGGAGGGCCTCAGCATTGGCACACTTCCCACGGGACCTAACAACGTACAAACCAGGCCCCAACAAGGCGGCATGGGTTTGGAGTTTAGATCTATCGCTTTGAGAAGAAACAAAACATTCCAGTTTGTCAGGATGGAGCTCAAACCCAGGAGTTTGGGCGTTCTCCATTGTTTGGCTACCTGATTCGCGGCGTCGGGCTTGGTGCACCACATTGTCCTATCATCCACCCAAGAAAATGGCAAGTTTCACTGTAGGATGCTGAGTTTTATTGAAAAGAATGCTAACTGTCATCATTGAATTGCGTAAGGCTGGGCTCGCGGGACAGCCTTGCAACAAGGACATGGAACAAGTCACGGGTTGAGGTGCAAAATGGCCTCTGACTGCAAACCATCGCTCTTGCAAAACGTAAAACTGGTTTAAAATATGCAGGACTCCTTCCGGAGCTCCAGGCTTTTTCCAACACAGCAGTGTCAACTTTGACAAAGTCAAAATACTTTCGGACATCGGCTTTTACCCCCACAACCCCATGGCCAGGGTGATGGGAATTGTCAAGGTCATGGTACAGAACCTGCACGTTATGGATACCTTTGTGCGGCATGCCCCCACATAGCTCAGCCGGGGCCCATTGGCAAAGCAGCGCTTTCATGGTAGCTGCCACGCAGACCCTCCAAGCTAGCGTTGCAATAGCGAGGGGACGCTTTCCCCCATCTTCTTTGTCCAGCAAGGAAACACGGATGGCTTTCCAAGCTGCTGGCAGCTGAGCTCCAGCAAGGCATGCCCGCCAGAGCCAGCGAGCCAATTAAAGCTAGAGGCAAACAATCCCACAAACGACTGGTCCGACCGTCAAGACCGGAAGCTTTCGACACAGCCTCGTGGCTTAATTTACGCGAAGAAAGACAAGTTATGTGACGTGTTGGGCAAGGAAAATGCAAATTTGGCAGGTCGGTGAAAAGAGTCTCAAGAGCAGTTGTTTGCGGAAGGAGTGGAGGGTTCCACACTTGGCTCCATTTTTCAGCTGCTTCTTGCGCTTGCAGCTGAGGGTGGGGGGGACTCTGTGAACTAAAAAGGAACCCCCTTGTTGTTGTCACAATTTGCCTTGACCCAATCAGCAACTTGACGCAAGTCAAACTTGACTGTAGCTTTTCAATCTTCGAACCTTTGGGTGGCATCACTTTCGGCAATTCTGTTGGCAAGCTGCAAGACCACTCCTGGACAATCGAGAGATGAGCAACTAATATGCACAAGTTCAGAGCACCGAGCACTCAACTGGTGAGCGTTCGAACCTATCTCTATTTTGAACCATCTGAGGCACTGACTGTTCATGTCTACGACTGGGCGCTTTCTCACTAGCGCCCAAACACTGTTCAGCAACATAGCTCAAGATTTTCCAAGCGCCGCACGAGTCACATCGCTCAAGGCAAGTTTCAAAAACAGGTTGGTTTGGCCCCCAATGAGCAACCCACCAATCTTGAGAAACAGGAACAGGTTGCAGTTTGGCACGCCGGGGCCCTTTTAAAAAAGTCGCATCGTCGTTAACTACAATTTCATAGGAAATGAGGTCGCGGTCGGCAACCCCTTTGACTTGAGTCCGTGACACAACCACAATGTCACGTGTGGCCAGCGTGTAATCAATGACATTTTGCGTACGCTCACCATTGGGCCGATGCGTGGTTCCAATCCGGCCCATAGAGGACACGGCTGCCACATCATCCGCATCAAGCAAACGGCCATGCAAGGGCAGTGGTCACCGGTGCTGGCACAGCCCATTCGAAAATGGTTTCAAGGGTTTGGCCCCCCTTGCTGTAAATAGCCATTTATCAAAATGCAGGGTTGGCAGTGGGGCCTATGGCATACGGCCGCAAGGCGCGGATCCCAGCCAGCTTCGCGAGCAGTTCCCCACACGCCATGGAGATTGTCCCTGTTAAGCTGTGTTTCTTGAAGGCGCAAAATATCCACATTTTTTGAATTGGCAAGCGTCAAAACATTACCCCATTTACCAGACAAGGAACAAACATTGAGCGTGGCAATAGAAATGGTCGAACGAGAATATACGCTTGGTAGAATATATATTCTTCGCTTGGTACGTAGAATATATTCTTCGCGAGCAACCCGATCAAGCTCTTTCACTGCTTTTGTAAAACACGTTGGTCATTGCGCACACACAGCAATTTGGACGAAGGGCCAAATTTTTTTGCCTGGAGAGAAATCACACTTGTGACAAAGCTGACACCACAAGACAAACTGGCGGTGGGGCAACGGCCACTTAATCTTGCGCAGAGCATGCTTGGGATGAGGCTTCGGCTTAGCAGTTCTGAGCAAGGGCAAGGCATGGTTAGCGAGAGCAACATCCTGCGAACTTGCATTTGGATCCGCAACGATGCTTTCAAGTCTGGCGATCAACTTAGTCCTTGATGCGCCTCCTCAGCACTTGACATGACACTTATACTTAGCGATTTCGCCAATGGACTCAGCAATGGCTTGGCACTTTTTGCAAAAGATATGACGATAAGTGCTGCGGGCGCCCTTACCAACAGCCGCAACTGGAAGTTCCAAGAAAACAACAGCATGCCGCTTATGCTGTTTGATGGCAAGCAGGCGACTGGCAATCCCCGTGCTGCATGATCTTCACAAATGATGCTTGTCAAACGTTTTGCAGCATTTGTCCGCTGAAACTTGACTTGAAATCTTCTTGGTCCTCATCAGGGCGCTGGTGCCTGCCGTGTAATCTGGCTGCAACGCCAACAAGGGTCGCCCGCAGACCCAACGCAGGACGGGCACAAGCCTCGATCCACTCATCATAGGCGCATGGTCGGGATTGGTCCACCCTCAGTTTGCTGCGTCCATCGACTGTCAGACGACCAAGAGGATTTGTAACGCTGGTGCTTCTTCAAGCGAGAGGCGACTTGGCACCAAGGGCCTTCGTGTTTGCCTTTGTCTCTTTGGCATCTCTACCGGATGCGAGGGCATATGCTGCGGCAGCTGCCCTGTAACTGTAGCCGCAGTCCCCTTGGCTGCCGCAGTCGAACAAGTTGTAACCAAAAGGTTCGGCAGCGGAATCCGCATGGTCGGCTTTGGCCTTTTTTCTCGACAGAAAGCCCGTGAGTATCAGACTCTCGCTTTTCACCTGGAGCCATGCTTGCGTCTCCGGCTTCGTCTTGACTTTTGCTGTCACCTTGCTTGTCCCTGGGTAGTGAATCGAGCTGCGTTTTTGCAATTTCACTTTGGGCTGGCGGCTGCCCAACGACCCCAGCATCTTTAGACCACTTCGACAAAGCAGGTCGAATGTCACACCCTGCTCTGGCGATGGCGTGCTGGCAGCGTTTTGGTGCGCGTGTGGACGCAAGGTGCGAAACAATGCATGTGTTGGACAAATCATAAACATGACAGGGCGTCGTGTCGGGCGCCACGGCTCGAACAACCCAGCCTCGGTCGCCAAGCGGCTTGCTGATTGGGAGATCTTCAGTCCATTTGTGAGTCGTCCTTCTGGAGCCTCCCATTTCTAGGCACTCCGTCAAGTTGCCAGTCAGTTCACAGCTTTGGGCCCGCTGTCAGTCTGACGCTCTGCCACACGAATCCCTAACGCAATACCCCTGCCTTGCCTCAACCCAAGACCTTGGGCGTCGGCTTCTTTGATGACGCGGAGTCTGTATATGCAACACGGTCTTCTTCAACCAAGGGCGCAACCCAGTCGACCTGGGATTTTGGGCCACGCTTTGCAAGGCTGTCGATGAAAAAACCTTCAAAACCTGAGATTCGCAGGAATTGGGCTTTATCTGAGGTGTTGACATTGAGGAAAGCGGTGAATTGATCCTCACACTTGGCAGCAGTGAGACGCCACCCATAGGAGCTAATGATTTGCTTAGACAACCCTTTCTTGTCACACGCAACATGAAATGCATTGGCGGGCTTGGCGACGGCTTTTAACACACTGTTTGTCACAAGTTACTCTGAGTACTGCAGTTTCCGTCAAGGCCGGGGTTTCAGTCTTAGTGATCTTAGTGACTTTGATTGGTTGCGACACAGGAGCCCCTTTACTCAGGCAAGGAACAAATTTGACAGTAGGTGGCGAATGTCCTGAAGTGACATGGAGCCATTGTGGCTTGGCTTCCTTGGGAGCCTCGCCATTGACAAAACAAAAAGTCAACCCACAGTCGACGTCATGCGCGGCCAGCAGCGTGCGAATTTCATCAGCTTGTGCAAGGTTGACTTAAACAAATTGGGCACTCGGCTTGGCGCCTTCTTCAAGTTCATTGATAATGGCACGGAACAAGCCCACAGCATCTGGTTTGTTCGGGTTCCTCCAAAGCTGAGAACCGGTTCCGGAGTACGAGGCTTGTTTTTCCGAACCACTTTGGTCCATCCTTGCTCGTCGGGCTTAGTGGTTGTATTGGCCGCATGTTTGGCGGCTGCGGCAGGTGCAGCATGGGTCTCTCTGGACGCGTATGTGCTGGAGGCTTAAATTTGACCCTTCTTCATCAGCCGCTTTGACAAATTTTTTCCAACTTGGAAAGCAAATCGCCTGGGTTTTTCTCCGCGCCTTGCACAAGTTTCTTTCAGGGAAGGAGGAGGAAGTTCTCAGTCTTGCTTTTGTCAGTTTCGCTTTGGGGTGTCTGCTTTTGAGCACGTCTTGGTGACGAAAAACTGGCAAGTAAAGACTTGAGTCCTTGCAACTGCTGCTTCTCAGGAGTGGCTGGACGTCCGGCCGCCTCCACCTCGGAGGGCAGCATCATGCCAGCCCATTCTGTTGATTCGCACTTCTGCTTGAACTGTGGCGTGTGTCAAAGCACGACGCTGGCAGTAGGGAATTGCAATGCACCAAGTTCCATTGGGGCAACAAACAAAACCTGTCTCAAGACTAATCTTGGTTGGTGATCACACTGGAACGGGCGTGGTTCGGCATCTTGGTCTTCGGCAGCGTCTTTGACCAATGACTCTAGCTTCAAAAAGAAAACGGTAGCTGTTCACTTTCATGATACATTTCCTTAAAGCAATCTCAGGGTCAACGGTTTTCTTTACACGGTGTTGCTTTTTCATCGGAAGATGATTTGCACCTTGGCGTTGGCAGAACATCGTCAACAGGCCCATTCCAAATATGCCCAACCAGGGCACCGCAAAACAGGAATGGAAAAACTGCTTGGTGCGAAGAATGCATTGCAAAGCATGGAAAGAACAAAACTTCCAACAGACATGCAACAAATCTTCAACTGTCAGATCGTAGGCAACTGAGAAACTCCAAAACTGCAAAAAAGTAGCCAAAAATGCCAGGAAGAAAGAAGTTCCCCAATCAATCATCTGCCGAATCATCATGGAAGCCGTCGCAGCGCGAGGCCGAACGAGGCCGAACGAGGCTTTTGCCTCGGCCACAAAACCGAACGGCGCTCTAACCAAGCAACGGCTTGAATCAAAATGGCTTGAGCCAATATCGTTACGGGCCTCATGTGGGCCTCCTCCTGTGCCTCCTGCTAAATCAACTCATTCCCTGCGATCCCAAGATTTTGACTCGATTGCGGTTTGCCACGCGCCAGCCTTTGTGAAAAACCTAAGGAACCAGGACAGGTGTAAGTATAAGGTGGTCTAAACATCTTTGAAACTTCAAAAGCTCAACGAAAGCGACAATGCACATCTGCAGACCTGAATCATCCTGCAACAGCCTGAAACCTCTACGAGTGGAGGATGGTTACAACGCTCACAACATAGCAAGTACACGAATGGACGTCTCCGTCCGCTTCCCCTCCAGCGATTTAGCTTCGTTGGACAAGGTTCATCGCTGGAGGACTTGCCCCCCTGCTTAAAAACATGTACAAGTTCAAAGGAACCCCTGTGACTCCAAAGGGTTCGCACACACACACAGATATTTTACACTCGTGCCCTCATACGCTGAAAAACGAACACCGGCGAACGGTTCATCCGTTCTCCACCTCCTTCATCCTCTGCTTGAATTCTGGCAAGGTGAAGTCGTGTGGGTTGCCAATGCCTTCAAGGATTTGTTCCACCTGCAGTTAGCTCAGTGGCATGGCAAGAGCAACTATATGCTTCTGATCAGCTTCAAACATTGAGCTCGTGCAAAGTGGTGCAAGAACACAGCCACTGTTGGGCGGCGCCCGCAAACTCCATGTCTCCTTGTGGTTCGACATATCAAACTACTATATAATTACAGTACAAATAGTAGATGCAAACATGGCCCAGGGACTCCCATGTACCCTTGAAGCCTTGAAGCACTCCGGGTTCATATCAGCCAGCTGCATGGCATCGGCCAAATGAGAGGCCTTCATCACATTGGTGTGTGGCTCCTGACAATTGGAGCTTTGGAAACTTCAAAGGTGAAACCAATTGCAACTCCGATGAAAAGCAATTCTTCGTTGTGAAACAAATTCCTTCTTCTCCACCGGATATTGATGGTCTGTCACAGTGGACACATGGGGGCTGGGCTTTTAGTTGATCTCCAAACCTGCGGCGAATCGGAAAAGCAAGCTCTGCCTGATTCCCGTATAAATCAAGGGTGTCAAACAAGAAAGAAACCTACTCAGAAGTTGTACCCATGTGTTCCACGCAGTGTAATCAAAGGATGTCAAAAGAAAAGCTGCTTTTTAGTCCTCGAACTGCTGGAAGATCTCCTCAAGTCGGACCTCCTCGAGAGTGTTCACTGGTGACGCAACCTCAGCGCATCCAAGCATGAGCGCTTTGGCGCACAGCGATCTGATTCGAAGCATGAGGACTCCCCTTGGGGACCTGGGAAATTTGCCCAACAACAAATCATTAAAGGGTGTTTCCTGGTGGTGTTCTACACTTGTTCTGGAGCACCGATGAGTACCCGAGTTATCCGTTCGAAATGCCTCAGGTGGCATCCCGCCTCAGCTGATTCGCTGATCCCGCGAACTCATGCCGTCATGTTTGATCATCCGCGGAGGTCAAATTCCGTATGCGTTGCACTCTGAAACGCTTCCGAGAATCGTTCGCGTGGCGGCAAAGACGAGGACCCATGGCTCAAAGAAATCCTCAAACCCGATGCTATGCTGAATCGACCTGCTGAGTTTCGGCCGTCGACATGCTGAGTCGACATGCTGAACGATGACTAGCTCCTCAAACGCTGAAGCAGAGTTGTCTAAGGCACATGCCAATGGTATCATAATACAATGCATCGGGAGCTTGCTTGGGTGACTTAGATAGCTCCACTCACCAGAAGGTCCTCAAAGAGGTACGTGTAAAGCCTGAAAGTCACTGAGGAGAATCGGCTCGTCATGAGATCCCCGTTGATATTTAGGGTGAGGGGTCGGGGTCCCTATTTGGTAGTAAAAATCACTACAAAATGTCAGCGGCCAACGTCCCATCTCTACAAAATGACTCCAAAAAAAATGGACTCTTTTTGTAGGGAGGGGATAGGCCAATTATACAAAATGGAGGGGGCCAAGGTCACTGCTTGGTACAAAATGGGACGCGGTCTGGAAAGGCCTACTCATTCGGTAGTGAAGATGAATGCGCATGAAAATCATCAACAGTCAAGAATAGTCAAGACATGTCAAGACTGTCTTTTTTGACGCGCTTTTGGACGCCTGTCAAATGGCTGTACTCCCCACGAAGCCTAGGCTTAATGGCTATACTTTGATAGGTGGCTGGCTGGCTGATTCCGCCGGATACTTCTGCTGGCTGCCTACCGGCCAACTCCGCTGGATACTTTAGGTGGCTGATTCCGCCAGCCGCCGGGTACTTTTGGTGGCTGGCTGGCTGATTCCGCCGGATACTTTGCTGGCTGGCTGGCTGATTCCGCCGGATACTTTGACAGGTGGCTGGCTGACTGATTCCGCCGGATACTTTAGGTGGCTGATACCACTGGCCACCTTCCCTACTCTACAATATGGGGGGGGGCCCGATGGGCGTACCGTGCCTGACTGGCTCGTCATCCCTGACAGCGCGCAGCCCAATGCCTGGCGACTCCTCCACTATGCTGGTAAGGGGGGGCTCGCTTTAGCGTAGGAAGCACCAGTCGCTACCCACCAGGGCAAGAAGCCGATGCCGCACATAAGGCAAAAGAATACCAGTTCGAAGCTCTGCACAAGATTCACTTTTATGACGCATGGAGGAGCCAACCAGAGCTTGGCACCTTCCCCCCCAACCTGGACCCCCGCAAGCAGGCTGTTACTGGCCGCAGCAAAGCCCTTCCCCTGCGATCGATGTCAGCTCGGGTAGCCCCGAGACTGCAGCATGAGAACAGGAAGAGACAGGTATGCCAGAGAAAGACTCTGAGGATAGGGCCGACGAAGCACAACACGTGCAGACCCCGTCATCAGCAGAAGCCGACACTGAAGCAGAATGCCTGGGATTGTGCCTCTGACTTTGTACAGTAGGCCTGTCCCACACCAGCAGGTGCACCAGCCAGACCCAGTCACATCCACCAAGTTCCACCACATCCTGCCTATCAAAGATACCTCTCCGCCCTCCACCTTTGCCCTTTCAGCCCCCTGTCTAGGCTAGATCTCCGGACGCAGGATTGTTAGAATATCCATCCATCATGATTCCTTACAAAATGAAGGACCTCCCCTACCAAATAAGTACACCCAACCCACAAATCGTGCACTCTCTTTTCCCTACTAAATAAGTACACCCAACCCTCTTGCTGCCTACAAAATGCTGGCGTCCCAACCACAGGGGTCGTGCGACCAAACCCCTTTACTACCAAATGTGCATTCTGTAGGAGGGTTAACCCCCACGATTCTGTAGGCTAAATACCATCACTGATGTCATGAGTATCTTTGATCCTGTGGGCACATCTTGCAGTCCATGAGATACATCCAACTCACAACTTGCGAAATCAACCCAGGTGGCAATTCACCCAATGCTCTGCATCAACCCAGGTGAGCCACACCTGAAAGAAGATAAATAAGGGCACACGTCTTACAGGAGAACGATCTGTCCGCCTGCCAATCTAGCAACTGACAGGGCCCCAAATCCACCCCTTCTCCTCCTTTTCACAGCTCAGCCACGCATGAAACGTCAGCCGCGCATGCATCAATTCAGCGTTGGAGGCTCTCTTGGCCGCCGAACTCTATGCGAGGAAGCTGGACGCCAAACTCTCCAGCAAAGTAGGCGGCGCCGCCGCACAGAACTGCCCACCGGATGGTCCATGAAACCTCCCCTCCTTGCTGAGGCAGAGCCTGAAATCCAAATCTGAGTCTACAGGGATGCCACCAGATGTCATATTAAACATGAATAAACCATGTCATAACTTGAATGCCCTGGTTCCTTCTTCCACTTCCACATGGTCTGTTTCAGCTCAGTTGGGAAGATCTTCCTGCACGGCTTCTTTGGGGCTACCCCTCGAGATCTGGAGGCGATGGCCCATGAAGTGGAGGCAATTCTTTAAACTAAAGCTAGCTGTACAAATCTTTACAAATACCACGCTCATGTTCACCGCTGATTGATCAAACCCTCCGACCGGAGATGCAGAACCATCCAACCGTCCTGGTAGGAGGGTTACTATATAATCAGCAGTCAACACTACTTTTGGGTGGCGTGTGTTGGTGATTTGGGCTTTGCCCGGATGCATCCCTTTGGTTCTTTATCCCTTCGGCAGGCTGGCAAAGAGTTGGCTTCCGCTCCAAAAAAGCATCTGGAGCTATCAAGGTTTTGTGGTCCGACCAACTCCAGTAAAATGATTGGTGTTTAAGGGTATTGACCTCTGTAGGGCTCTTGTAGGGCTCTTGTTGTCAGGGATTTGATCCAAGAAACCACCATCATCACGCCTCTACGTCCCCATCTGGTCGTTTCGTGGTGAAGACGACGGACTCATCGACTTCTCTACGACGAAAACGACTCACACGCAGATGCCCTCCGACCCCGAAGAAAGTGGTAGACTCTCGCAAGATGCCTCTGTCACAGAGAGTCACAACAGGCTTCGAGAGAAAGGCCCAGGTTGTTGGATCATGTTGGATCTTGAAACCCTTTCCACTCAAAGCTCTTCAAGGCCCTGAGGAGGGAAAATCTCTACTAGACGACCAAACTGCAGGCATTTTACCAATCCAAGATCTCAAGTCTCCCCACCTTGCAGCACGTTACTCCATCCCATCCCAATTCCCATTCAAGCTGCGGCTCCCTCAAGGCGGGACGGTACCACCACAGCTCCCTCAGCGCGGCTCTCGCGCGCCACGCTGATGAGCTGCTGGAATTGAAGGCTCACCACCTCCTTAATTCGCCCCCTTCGGCGCACCCCGCCGGAACGGTCGGTCGGTCGGAACGAAGCTCTCCGGCGCCCTCCGAAGGCTCCGACGGATGGCCGCTCCGGAAGGCTCCGGAAGGCTCCGACCTCGGTCTCCTGCGTGGTCGGTCGTGCCTGAAAAAGACACTCCTCGAAGTTTGATCCATGGAAGATCGTGGATGAAGTGGATAGCACGGGGATTTCATGGTCCTCCAGTGGATTGCCCATGTCATACCATCCAGAGATGAATACCAAAAAGAGTGTGCATTGCACAAAAACCGCTGTCCTGAGAACTCGTTGAGAACTGGTTTTTGCAGCACAGTTGGTCCAAATCTCAGTGGCTAGAGATGGCGGAAGAGAAACCAAATAGGACCTATAGCAGTCACCTCAAAAACACGCTAGAGCAAGGAAATCCTTTTTGGGGGGGTGCAACACTGGTCACTGTCATAGCCTTCTCTCTCTGTTTTTTTTCAGCGACCACCTAACAGAAAAAAAATGGTGGACCATGCTCCCAATCCAACAGAGAAATCACCCACCCAGACGCTCATGGACCCTACTAAGTAGGGGCCGGACCCTCATATGGAGCGGGTCCAGACCCCCAAATCCCTGATTTCAGGGACCGGTCGGCCGTCGTTCACGGAGCGTCTGGGCAGCTTCACCATCCACCATCCACCACCCACTTCAGACCCAGTTGCACCAATCCATCGGGCCATCACATCGGTCACATGTTTGTTCACCTGCTCAAAGGTGCTCGTCTCCTGCAGTCGAAGGGCACGCCCCGTGAAGGGCACGCCCAGTCGAAGAACAGGTGAGATGTTCACCCGTATCTCTATACCTTAAGGTCTATTCCATGAGCAGTTTAACAGTGGATGATGATGGTAGGTTGCAGACCTTTCTTTTAAAAAACACTAATTGCTTGACCGACCCGACTGTTAGTGGTTTACTAGGATACACATGGATACACATGGATACACCCACATCCACCAACCACACCCATCTCCCACCTCCAGAAACATGCTTCAACCAAAAAACCTGTGACCCCGTCAGTTCTTTTGACCTTCCCAACTCCCCTCACCTCTCTCGAGTCCGCTCCTGGATGGCGCGCTTCACCTCCTCCTCGTCCTTGGGGTCGTAGGCGATGGCATTCTGCGCATCGATGCAACTCACGGACTGAGTGATCTCCCAGATGCCCACCTACACATCGCGGGAAGCAGAAGAAACCGAGGAGGAGATGGTTAGTGAGGTCGATGGTTCGGTGGGAAGGACAAGGCTATAGCCCTATTTTTAGGGAGAAAGCTGGCAGAAAAGTGGCGCCCAAACTGGGCCTAACAAAGCTCCGGTACAACGAGCTCCCTCGTTGATTGAACGGCCACGAGTGAGTGAAACGGGGTGCTTTTCCGCCATGATGGCCGCCATGGCCACCCCCTTCAGATGGAAATCTCACAATGCAAAATGAGACACCCAGGGAATCCATCTCGCAGATCCACCGATTTCGGAGATGAAGACTGACAAGTTGGAGGAAAGTGGAACACCAAAGCCAGCACATGTGAGAGCCAAAGATTTGGATTCCATCCTTTTTCCGCCCCGCCCGACCTTTGGTCTCTCATCCATCCGAATCCATCCCGCCTCTCCCCGGCTGATCTGCTGTTGCAGCGATTCATTGGCAGAGAAGGGCATGGTGAAAGTCACCGGCACCTGTCAGCAGACACTGCTGAGATCTGCTGAGATCTGATGCCGATCTCACCCCCCTCGACAAAACAATTCGGGAGGAGAGAAAGATGGGGTGTGGAATTCAAGGTGCCCACCCAGATGCATTGAAAAAAGATGAAAAAAGAAGCATCGTCCAAGCATGCTCCAACGTTGATTGGTAAAGGAACTTCAACTCGATGAAGCCGAAGGAATGTCAGAACGAAGGCATGTCAACCGAGGCTCATGTTCGGTGCAACCGAGGCTCACGCTCTAGCTAGCCGCTTGAAACCTTTGATTCTGCATGGGATGAGGTATTTACAGCTCTAGCTGACCTGCTGCAGGGCTTTTCTGCCAGAGGGTATTCAGTCCTCGTGCTCCCCCTTTCGTAGTCTGAGTCGTAAGGCGTCAAACATCACCCCTTTCACCACCCAGAAGGCGGGCCAGCGCATCATGCGCGCTGGCGCGCCCTGAATGCGGCAGGTTCATCGGGTGGATTTGGCGGGTGGCGAGACTCCTTAGTAAACTGCTAACCCAAACCTATCTAGAGCTTCGTATATATGATAGAGTCATGTGTCCCAGGTTTTCTGAACACTTCCAATCCAACAAGTTCCGCCATCGCCTGCTCTTTGCTTGCCAAGAACTGCTCGTAGATCGTCCAGACCCTCGAGAGGTAGATGGGATCCTCAGTTCTTTCGAAACAAAAGACACCGGTGTCGAGGCCGCGCTGGACCACCTCGCGAGGTGGTCCCTTCTTCGACCCGGTCGACCAGTTCGAAGGACGGAACCCCCCAACCGTTCGAAAAAAAGCCGATGTTCCGTGGCGATTGCTCCGACCAATCGGTCCAAGCCCCAAGGTTCCACCAGAAGTCACTCCAAGTTCCAAGGCGAAGGGCGAACGAATCGTTTTGGTCCTCAACGCCCACGACTTGGTAGCAAACACGGCTCCTTTCTTTGGGAGTCCGCCCTTTCAAACCCAACGCTTTTTTTGTTTCCACCGGAAAAAAGACAAAGGAAACACATCCGCGCAGCCCGTCTCCGCTGCTCCGCGTCCGCTCAACCCGCTCTCTGCAGCTCCGGTGCGCGCCAGGTGTCCAGGATCGCCACTACGCGGTTGAGGCGCGTCAAGTTGCTCTTGAAGACCTGGCGGGAAAGACGAGCCACACCAGTCCAGCGAGCGAGCAAGAGCTTCGCATGGTACTTAGAGCGATGTGATGATTTGACTGGAGCGAATGTAAACTTGTTTGGGGGGGTACTTAGATGTGATGATTTTATGTGATGTTCAGTATACATAGATCGTATACTGATATTTGATGTGTAAATTCAATACCTGGAGCTTCCAACAGGTGGTCTTTGGACACCCCGAATCACCTCTAAGAGGCTTATTCATAGACACCTCTTGGACGGTCCTGGTATATACAGTAATTAGACATAGATAACACCCGCACCTCGCCCAAAACATTGCTGCCCGCCATGCTCCGTTCGACCTTGGTGCAGTCTTGAATGGCTGTCAGCGTCAGCTTGTATAATCAAGACATGGTCGCGAAATGGGTTCCCCAGAACTGAAGATTAAAAAGACCATGATGTGGGGTTCATTGTCACTACCTCCGGCACTGGTTCACTGTTGTTCCTGTGCTTTGGATCCAAGGCACAATGATCCGGAACTGGTTGTTCACAAAGAAGCACATGAAGAAGAAGACCTTCTCCGTCCGCACTGGTGGATGCGTGCTCACCTTAGTTTTTGTAAGATATAAGTTCCAGCTCGCAGTGCTTGGAGATGAGCCAGAGATGGATCATTGGGATGATGGTGTGTCCAACCTCCAAGTCTCCGGACCTCCGAGTCTCTGCGTCTCCGAGTCAAGAGGCGTCACGTGAGAGGGCGGTTTGGGTTGAGGATCAACGGCGCCTGCGCTTTGTTTTGGGGGTTGGGGAGTGTGGAGGGTTCAAAAGCTCCTCTCAGATCTATGGCTTCCGTGAAATCTATGGCTCCCATGAAACATCATGTCGTATGGAAAGTGTCTGCCGCATGGGTGGTTGAGGAAAATTCATGTGGTGCAAGCAACAATGGGTGTGAAATGAATCCTCTGGAACTTCGAAACACCTGCTTCAAGATGAGACCTTCACGCACTTCTTCATTGCTGATGAAAAAGCTCTTCCCATGATCCGTCGGTGGATGCCATTGTTAAATGCCATGTTGGCCTTCTTGCTGGGCATTGCATCCACCGACGTGAAGGTCTTCATCATGATACCATACCAGGACCCGACACCTGTCGGGGTGTCTATTTATAGCCCCAAACAGCCGTGATTCGAAGAATTTCCATTAACCACCCCTTGAAGGCCCTGGTATATCATTGGGTAATCCTTCTGCGTTTCTTCCCCACCCAGCCAACTGCCTCACACCGTCCGCACACCGTAAACCTACCTCACTCCACTTGTCAGTCATCCACCAACGGCATCCTGTGCAAATGGCAAATCGAAGCCCAAGGTGCTTGGTACATGTGCAAAGCGCTTCTCACCTGCCATCTGCAAAGTGTGCACAGTGTCCAACAGAAAAGCTCCCCATACCGTCAAAGTCACAAGGAACACGTTGACATCCATTCCAGAATACGGCAAAGACGGGGGCATGTACGGGACTGTTAACTGTTCCTGTGCTTGACATGGCTGCAAAGCAAAGATTCAGAATATGAGATGTGAAGAAGAGGCTCAATTAAATTCCTTCTGCGAGCAATGGTCTTGCACTCCACTCTGGGTTGGTCTTAGTTGTATACTTCACATCCCACCTTCCGAGTACATCCTCGGAAGGTATTAAGACCCGTGAAACCCCTTCTGAACACCTTCGTTTCACGGAACCATCTCTAGCTTTCTGATGCTTTCTGGACACTCATTGAACCAAGAAAACCAAACACGTTTCGCCGTCTGACGATCGGTCAGAGACCTCCTTCGCGGCCCGTCCTTCGCGCGCGCCTCGCTCAAGCGATAGGCCCAGGCCCAGGACAAGAAGTGCGTCTGCTCGCGGCGCTCAGGCCTGGCGCCACGTGAGGCTGAGACCTGGTTGGAGTGTTCAGCCCCACATGTCGTTGTCTCGCGCACGAGACGTGGCGCGCACGAGATCATGAAGGTGGGTCCCTCAAAACGGGGGGAACCCCTTGTCTTGGAATTGTGATGTCTTCTATCCCCAGTGGAATCACCCAAAAGGGAAGATAACAATAAGCAAGTCGGCAAGTCATCTACAAGCGCCTGTGTGACAGTTACCCCTCGGCCGCGTCAGCTTCGACAGCAGCATTGAGGCGACGTGATGCACCAGATGACTTAACACCAGTAGAGGGAGATCGCTCTAGTAAGTGAGGTTTGGATAGAAGTTCAGTACGGCATTCTCCCTAGGGAACAGTTGAAGTTTGACCCTTCCAAACCTCTCAAGCACCAAAAACCACACAAAACTCCCAAAACGACGCCAAGAGGTGGTGGGTGGGTGGATCCAACGTTCGCGGGCCCTTCTTGGGGTCTGTTTGGACGTTGGAAACCGGCACCGAGCACCCGAGCCGTACCCTGAGCTGCACTGAGCGCTGTTCACACCCTGGAACCGGCGGTTTGAATAGAAGTCACCCGGTCAAAACCGGCGATCTTGTTCTTGGCAGAGCTCTATTCCTGCCATTTGGTGCTCATGTTGCAAAGCCAACCATGTAATACCTCACAAGTGAAAGGTTCATTACAAGGTTCATACATGCAGAGAAAAAATATGTCTCCAGAATGGTGTTACATCTCAGTCTACAGAGTCGAGTCTACATAACATCTCTCTCATCCACATCCAAACCGGTCCACCCACACATGATAGAACTGATCCGTGACACCCCCACTCGCTGAAAACCCTTGCCTTGGAAGCCAGTCGACCAGCGCACAGCCGCGGCGTCCGTCGCGAGGGCACCGGAGACAGAGTCCCAGGGGAGGTGGATCCTCACACTGCCTCAGAGGCTGGGACCCCTGAAATGCGGAAAAGGAGGGATGTGAACCATAAATCAAAGAAACGTACCAGGACCTTCCAAGAGGTGTCTATAAATAGCCTCTTAGAGGTTAAGAGGTTGCCAAAAACCACCTGTTGGAAGGTCCTGGTAGAAGGGATGTCCAAATTGTCCCATCAAACATGTACGGTTCAAAGCCCACATTTCACCTCGTTTCACCCGTTGGTTGTTGGGGGTCATGCCGCATCGATTTCAGTCAGTGGATCTGAGGATCTTTCAGAACCAGCCAACATCTACCAGGTCGGACCTCCTGGGACTTGGGAAAGGATTTGGGTGATACCCAGTACTTCCGCTTTTGACTGGTTGAAAACCCCACCTGATAGTCATGATCATCATGATCCACCACTGGTTTAGGGGGTCAAAGATTTGTCATGTTCCCGGACGTCCTTTGGCTTCATCTATACTCGGAGTGCGAGAAAAAATCCACACACGAAGCACCCCATTGCCTTAAAAAGATAAGTTTTCTTCGGAACCCTTGCATCAAGAAATACACCCCCAGAAGTCCAACAGACTTCAAGTATCTTCAAGTCCTCAAGGAAAGGACCGTCGCCTGGCGCTGGGGCTTGCTGAGGTCCGATGTGGTGCCGCTCGATTGAGAGATCAAAGGCCCCAGCTGTTTCGATCCCTGAAAGATGACGGTTCACCAAACTTGAGTGGGGTGTCCCCAATGTCCCCCCCCACTTTTCCTGGGTTGGACAGTTCTGAAAGCAGGGCAATCTCAGCCACAGTGTCTGGACGGGAACATTGACCACGAACTACCAATCCAAGGGCTTTCCGTGGGCCTGCTGGATGCCTAGTAATTACACGCCCGGAGACACCTGTAGCAGGTGCCCAAATCCAAGCGACCAGAAGAAGCTCTTCATCTCCTCAGCACCGATGGGTGCACGGCGCTTGATGGGTCTTCGAGGCTACCCCTTCAGACACCGTCCGAGGTTGAATGCTCCAGACATCATGTTGGACAAGGAAAAATGAAGAAAAAAGAAGAAAAGGATGTGAACGCGAGAAAAGGACCCTCCAACCAACTGATATGGAAATACACCTGGAAAACAAGACTACCTGACCATACCCGGCCCAATAGTCTTTATAAAGCAGGAAGCAAGATCTTCTAGAGGGGGTCATGGTCCCACAGGAGGCAAAAGCAGCCTCTTGTACCTCACCGTGTGGTGCCTCCTGCCTCCTGCGCCTGCATGGTCACCCCCAGTGCTGCCGAGCGTCGTTGAAGGTGGGATCCGTGTGATTCGTTCGGCTGGTCGCCAAGTACACGAAGTCCGGAGATAACAAATATCCTCAGTGCTCTTTTTTGTGGCTTGATGAGGCATTGCCTTTTCAGAGGAAAGAGGCATGTAAAACCAAAACTCTTGGCTCAAATCCCTATAGTTGCGATTTGGCCATGGTTTTTGAGCCGACAGAGTTCGACCAAAACTAGCAGCTCGACCCCCGTGAAACTACCTGCAACTCGTCAAGACTCCGCAACCTGAAGGGTGGTCTACCTAATTTTTTGGGGTTTACTATCCGCCCCCCCCTCAGTTTCCTGGGAAAATGAAGGTCGACAATGGTATGATGGTTCACGAACACTTCCCTCCGGTTCTTGATTGGTGAGGAAACCAAGATGATCCACTGTTCGTGGGTCGGGTATGGATCCAGTCCAACGATCCTCCTGCATCGAAGTAGCTTCCAACAACTTCACTGCCGAGTTGTAAAGTTGGGATCCTCCCTTCTTCCCGTTGATGTCGACCTAGAACCCAGACTCTCCTCTGTATCCTCTGCTTTGGATCGGAACTTACGTCGACTTACGGACCATCCCTGAAGAAGGGGGGGGGTTCTTGCAGTTGCTGGGCCAAGATCGAGGTCACACAGGAGTTGATCATGGAAGATCCGGCCCAACACCCGACACACCGGACGATCGGAGGAACCTACCATCCGACACTCCCCCCCGGTTCGACGGACCCGTACCCGGCGGCTCCAAAAAGCGGAGAACAAGAACTGGAGACGTCGCTCCTTCCTTCACTGGGCCAAGCTTAGCTTGGGGGAGTTTTCCCTCTGAAAGGGTCCAACATGAGGAACTCGTGCCTCCCGGTCGGTCTGATTCTTTCGATTCATGAACATGGAGGCCCTTTTTGGGCGACCCGGAGCGCTTTTGGTGGCGGGAGCAAGCCGTTTCGAGCCGAAGCCGTTTCGCACGGGCAAGTTAGGGGGGGTCCTCTCTTTTATATGCTGGGAGGTCTGGAGGTCAACACCTCGAAGATCCTTAAGCCAGGTGGCAGTTGGGGGGTCCTCTGGCACCGACCGGAAGATGAAAACCTAAGAGCCTCTGAATTGGAAAAATCCTACCCTTTCAATGTTGGGAAGGAGAGGAACCTGAATAGTTGATACTATTTGGCAGTTCCAACTTCTCCACTTTAGGATTCAGGTGGAGCTAGACTCTCAGAGAAGACTAAACTGAGGGGCCAACAGCTCACTTGCTCTACCTGAAGACAGGAACTTGCTAGCCGTTTTCCGGTAAAACCAAAAAGGAACCGTCCATGGCCATGGTCTTCATCCTAAGCACTTCACAATGAGAACTTGTCAGGCACTTCCACATGGCTGTGGGTCATGGCACCGCATGTTTGCCCGGTTCACCTGCCGCATGTTCGCTACATGGCCTCGCTACATGGAGGACTGGTGGCGATAAGGTTCGGTGGCGAGAGTCGCTGGGAGGAAAGGAAGGAAGACAAGGGCACTCTCAGCTGAAGGACTTCGTCTTCAGACCGAAGACAATGAGTATTCGTTTCTTGGGATTGCTCCGGTTGGACTCACTCATTCTCATTCTCATTAATTATGTGATTCAGAGATCTTATAAGAGCATTTAAGAGCCGAGCCCCTCTGAGTTCCTTGCTTCCTAAGATGGACCTTCCTGCCCCTATAGAAGTATATATAACGTACCTGGAAAGAATTTGGGGTATCTCCCACGTCCTCCTCCGCTCCTCCGCTTCGTCCAAGTCTCTCATGCTCACCCCCGCTCGCAAGCTCTGCTCCTTGCGGCTCTGCTCGAGCTGGGCCACCACCTGGACCCCAACACGGCCGGCCCACGTCCGGTCGCAAGGCAAAGCCGGGAGCTTTTGGGGTGTTGGAAAGTGCTGGCCAAAGGTGATGGCGGGAAGGCTGGGATGAGCAGGAACCAATGGTGAATTGGACCGTCTAGAAGTCTAAGCGGATTCTCCATGTCATATTGGAAAAGGCCCATGGGATGAACCATCTGCTTTGAACCTGCTGGTTCATGCATTCGATATTGGAGATGGCCCTATCAAATATCTGCAAAAAGAAAACGGAAGTGCTGTGCCCATGTCGTTGGATGGAGTGCGATGGAAGTCACAACACCCGTGAGAAGAGTTTCAATGGGAAGTGAGTTTCAATGCGTCGGTGGTGTTTCACCTGCAAGGCAATCTCCGTTGAACAACTTCAGCAAACACAGAATTTCCCCAAAATCACCTCCTTGCCGCCCAAAATCACCTGCCTCATCTTCTTTCATGCCAAAGGCCTTCAAGGCTGTGGTATATTTCGTCAGTGTGTCAGCAGTGCCAGGCTCTTCATCCCAGAGCTCCCTCTCCAGACTCTCCATCACCGCCGTCTGATCCGCGCAGACGCGCGCTTGCTCCTTCTGGTGGCGCTTCTTCACGTGCGAAAGGATTAAGCACAGCGACAGCAGCAGGGCGATGGCTCCAATGGGAATCAAGGGCAAGTGCCACCAAACGCACTTCTCAGCCCACAGAAGTTTGGGCAGCTTGCAGTCTAGGCACTCGTCTGCAAGCTCCGGGCGGTACTGACCGTGGCCACAAGGGATACAGTCACCTCCAACAATCACCCTCATGGGAAGGTTGAATCTGCAAGTCAACTGAGGGCAAGGCCAAATCAGTTCTTCAGAAAGGGGACAACAAAACCTTGTTCGATCCATCCACCCTCCTCAGAATATGCCAGAACTCGATAGTTGACCCCACCGAGAAAAATTCGATAGGCACCTCATGTCTTCAGACCTCACGACCCCGCCATCGAACCATCTAGTCTATCTCAAAAAATGCCTGCAAAAATGGTGAGAAGGGTCTCTTTGGGAAATCCCAAGTTCCTTCACCTTTACACCTCACAACTTTCTCGTTCGCCGCCCCTCTTTGGTTTCAGGTCTCAAACATTCCTTTATTCAGAAGGTCTCCGATACCGGACTCCTTCATTTTCAAAAGTTCCGAACTCTTTCAGCATCGCACTTCAGAACTCTGCCCCCAGTTTGGGCCGGGGGGGGGCCGACCCTCACCCTCGCTCCCGCTGAACACCGCTTCGTTCGGCGCCCGCCTCGGCGGTCGGAGGGTTTGGAGCTCAGTCCACAGACCTCGGGCGGACGTCTCACAGGAACCGGGCACGGAAGCAAAGCACGACTGGGAGCCCGCGGAAAGCGACGCACGACTTCCATGTCCCAACCACCGACCAGTTACGGGGAAGACGGGACGAACAGAAAGCCCGTCCGCGAGCTTGTTCTCAAGCCGACCGGCTTTCTGTTGCGGGGAGAGTCGAGTCTCTTCCGACCTGGCCATCCAAAAACAAAACATAATTGAAAACGGCCATAGGCCGCCATAGGAAAGAATAAGACCTGGAGCATCATGTCTCGATCGATCCAGGCCATTGAGAGTTTGAAGACTGGGCTAAACAAGCCCGGACATCTGTTGGATAGTCCTGAGTCGGAGATTCTTCCGGTACCTCTAGCCCTTGCGGCCCAGTTGCCTGGCAGTGGGCCATGCCCGCACGTGCCACTGAACCAGGAGGGCAGGAGACACAGTTCTGTTGGGCAGGATCCGGGATGGAGCCCGTCGCACAAGCGGAGCACTTCAGATGGAGCTTATCACTCTCCAGGTCCTGTCATGGTCAGTCAGATCAAAGCAGAACTTGGACAAATTCCGTTAAACACGGGCAATGTAGTTGTGCTCAAAAGTCTTTTTCTCAGGGGAGACACGACTATGTTCCAAACGGTGTTCTCATTTGTTCTCTCTTTGCTGTTTCCCGGTGGAAATGCCTTTCCTCACAGCGCTGGCGCTTCGTCTTCGAAACCTGACGAGCGGCGAAGCAACCCGGTTCTGCATGTCCCTGCATGTGCAGGTGCCCTGCGTGCATGCGCATATGCACGAACATGTACAACTCCATTGTCCTGCACTGTGCCAGGGTCAGGGCAGGAACAGCATGAAGCTTCTGTCACCAGCTGCGGGAAACTCGGTGTGGCCTTCAGCGCACTGTTGGAAGGGCAGCTGAAGCTCCCACAGGTGGCTTTCAAGAAGGCCCTCCAAGCACCTCAGACGTTCAAACCCTGATCAACATCTCTACCTTTACAATATATTTTGCACATTGTATACATTGTTGCTGAGGCTTGCCCAATCAAAGTATGTTGCCAAACAAGACTGCTAGATCTTTCAGTAATGGTCACAATGACTTCGTTACCACCAACCAAACTGTAGACTATGTGCACTTATATATATAATATATAGCCGCCAGCACGGATCTGGCCCCCAAAGCGGCCAAGAAAAAGACTCTTGGTCAAGAAAGGTCTTTCCTCCAAAGCAAACCCCTCCGACGGTGGTGATGTTCTTGGGTGACTGCTGTCTGCCTCCTGGTCACTGATGTGTGACCGGAGTGGCAAGGGGTCGCCCTGTCCTAAGTGGAGGACGCAACGGCCTCGCCCCAGCAAGAAGCCCAAGCACTCCTTAGTGACAGGCCCACGTCAGTTCCTCTTTCTCAGTTATTTTAAACAAAGGACACGAATCTCAGTGATCAAGAGTACTCTTTGGGTCTATGGGCTCTTGATGTGATCACGTGTGTGGTGCTTCCTTTCCTATCCCAAGCGCTGTGCTTCTTCGCAGCTTCTCACCCACACTCTGGCACTACATACCCACCCAACCACTCCACCCCAACCCAAACACCCACACCAGCCGAGCCTCTTGTTGCTCATCACAGGCCTCCTGGCAGGCGCCAAGCCCACGCCCGCCCACCTCGAGGCCCTCCTCAATGGTCCAACTGGCCGGGCCCAGATGCACGTAGCCCGCCGAGAGGGGAGCACAGAAGCCATCGACGCACGCCAGGTCTGAACGGCCGCCTTGGTGGTTGGCGATGAGCCCAAAAAAAGTGTTACTAGCTATAGTAGCTTCTAGCTACTAGGAACGATGCCAAGAGCCCCTAGTAGCGTCCTTGCTCCCTTCGTAGCGATGCCCTTGGTGCCCATTTCTGGCCCATCCCCATGAGCCCACCTCCATCCATTCTGTGCTCTGTCAAGTCTCAGCACCCACACACAGGGTGGAGACCCCCCATGAGTTGTGTTCATTCTTGCAACAGAACTTTAACTTTACGGGTTAACGGTTTTGAATGCTTTTACGGATTCCGGTCAAATGACCAGTGGACTTTCCACTCAAAACCCTCAAAAAGCCGCTGCCTCTCCAACCCCGCCCACGCCGAGCGGCAGCTGCTGTTGCCGCAGGCCGGACACCTCGCATGCCAGCGCTTTCTCGCTCCAGACTGGTTCCCGCGCGCCTCGAGGCCCCACGCGCTGCGCGTGGCCGACTTCACACAGTCCGACATGTTGGCATTCCAAAAGACCGATGCCTTATGGGGCCGAGTTCGGCGAGTCCGGTGGAGCACGGAAGCGTGGACCTCGGTGGAGAAGCATGGGTGGACCCCCCGTGCCGCCTCACAACGAAAGAGCGAAGTAAGCTTCCTTCATGGATGAAGGGTGCGTGGACGGGCGAAGGCACCGGTGCCATGAGCCACGGAGCAAAGTGATCACCCCACGGAATTCAGAAACCAATTGAGGGGACTCTGCAGACTCGCACTTGACACGGGTGGGACTGGCATCATGCATTATGCAAGTGATCAGGTGTCTTCATGCGTCGTTTATCTTAAAACGTGAGAAGTTCTCATCCAGATCTTTTGGACTCGTCTGTCGACCAAAACGAAGGCGGCGGAGGCGGAGGCACCGAAGTGTCCCAAGACACCCAGGATGGCGGGACAGCGGGATTTGGGGTCTTGATCGAATGATATCTAATGATTAAGGATCTATGGAATGATGCCAAAAGTATGCCCACTTTGCCGAGTTGTGTTAGACTCTTTTACAAGTATCTCCAAGAATATGTTGTATGCATACTGCGACCAGCGGGAGGTTGTTCCTCAAGTATATGTCCAACATCTGGAATCCCACACAATCGGACACGCGACGCGCCGAAGCCATCACAACGGGACACTGGATTGTGCACATGGCTCATATCCCAGCCTCAGCTGTTCAAGAACACCCGGATGGCACCCGCATGGACCAGACTGGAAGACGAGGAAGTCCGAAGACCAACCCAGTAGTTTTCAGGTTCCATGTGGGTCTCTTGGGCGTATATTTCTTAAGAGGCCTTTTGACTCGCCAGAACACCGAGTTGGGAAAACTTGGTCAGTTCTTTCAAAAGATGATTCCAAAACGCTCTCTGGAAACGTCTTCGTCCAGAGATATCCTCAAAACCATTCAAAACCTATGGGTCACCCTGAAACACGGTCGGCCCCACCACCAAGCATGTCTTCTCCCCCCAAAGCCACCGCTAGCGGCCGAGCGAAGACCACGTCACTCTCGCAGTGGCGCCGGGGAGTCGGACACATCGGGTGTCTCTCCCCGTTTCCCCGCGTGGGTGGACAAGACATCGTCTTGATGACACCATGTGTGGTTTCGAAGAAATAGGCACTCCCGAGTCAACTAACATAGACCCGGGTCCGTCCTGGCCCCCTGGAAGATGGTTTTCCTCTACCAACCAGTGGTTTTCAGGGTCCATGGGATCGTCTTCCAGGGTGTATATCATATGAATCATATGTCACAAAAATCAAGAACTTGATCAAACTCAAGTAAGGCCACTACCCACTGGCTGGCTGAAGCGCTTGGCGAAGGCGAAGATGTTTTCAATCCGCCGGACAGAGGAAGTGTCCCAATGTCCAAGGGGCTGGTTGAAGGACCTGACCAAGCCGCACATGTGCGCAGAATGTTATTAACTAAGTGAACTTAACTCAGTTAAGTCAGTCAACTTTAATCAATGTGGTTGATTTAACATACCTGAAGCATCCTTTGTAGCACTTATCTGAAGCATCCTGGAAACCAGGTATTAACTCAGTGTTTCACGGTCCAAATCCACCGGCCTGGTGAAGGTAAACATCGAGAACATCTTTCGGGCCTTCGAAGTGTTCCAGTGCAGCGGCTGGTTGAAGGTATACGTTCCAGCAAACATAAAACGCATGTCCTCCACCTTCGACGTATCCCATTCTCCGATGGGCTGATTGAAGAGTCGGGCGCCCGCGAACATGTACCTCATGTCCGTGACCAAGGAGGTGTTCCATCCACCGATGGGTTGATCGAAGGATTCGGCATCTGTGAACATCAACGCCATGTTGGCGACGGAGGAGGTATCCCATCCCGCCAAAGGCTGGTTGAAGTTGTTGGCACTTTGGAACATCCGGCTCCTCAAGCGCTCGCAAGCTGGCTGAGTCAAACGAACCCAAGGGTCATGTGGGTCATGCTGTTTCAATACTTTTGTGGTAATACGAACATATACAAACACTTGTCAGACCTCATCTTTATCTCAGCATGCAGTGAAGGCTCATATCAATCACACCCGTAGTGTTCCACTTCCCCAACGGCTGTGAAAAGGCATCGGCTTCACGGAACATCTCCCTGCCCAACAGAGCTTCCGCGCTCCAAATGCAAACTTGACAAAACACACATTTCACGAGCCGCCAGGAGTATGGCGGTTCATTGGAATTCCGAGTAAAAGTTTTTCAAACAGAGTGTGTCTGTTCCAATCAAAGTAGAACTTTGAGACCTTTTTGTACGAAAGAGGCCCTTCTCGAAGTTTGCCCAGTGGACTCCGGACTTGAAGAACTGCATCAACCAGTGGAGACACCAACTGGAGGGTTCTCTTTCAACATCTTTCAACTAGAGGACAAGCCAAAACTTGATCCCTATTTATAAAGGTACATCCAACTTGCACGTGAAGACTTGAGAAAGGTAGCAGGCAATCACAAGTAACCCTGGTAGAAGTCCATGACGGCGTGAACCGGCGCAGGGGGGATTTGATCCAGGGAGGGGGGGCCCCCCCCGACGAACAGAATCAACTCTTACAGGACCAAATTCCATGCACAATCCCAACTCCTGATTGTAATATATTGTTGCTAAAGCAAGGAGAACTCAGGTAGCTCAAGCTACCTTTCGTGAAAAGAGAATGAATCTTTATTTACTGGCATGGGTGTCTTCCCGTCTGGACAAGGCAGGTGCCCTTCTTAGCTCAGTCTCCATCAGAAAGTGCCACAAATGAGCCACTCCCCAAAAAAAATCTGGAGCTTGCACTCCCTCGGTATCAGGGATGGTTGCACTCCGCGTGACAGTCAGCATCCGTCCAGGCCTCATGCTCAGCACTCTGGAGGTATCCCAGCTGCCAATCGGCCGATTGAAGTTGGGTGCATAGCTGAACATCGCTCTCATGTCGATGACGTGGGAGGTGTTCCATCCACCAATGGGTTGATTGAACGTATAAGCATACTTGAACATCATGCTCATGTTGAGCACCTTGGAAGTATTCCATAAACCAACCCGTTGGCTGAAAAGCTTTGCGTCCAAGAACATACCAGCCATGTTGGTGACGGATGAAGTATTCCAGGCTCCAATTTGCTGGTTGAAAGCTTGTGCAGAGCTGAAGAGGAAGCTCATGTCAGTCACGGCTGAAGTATTCCAACGACCAACTGCAGCATCAAAGGATACAGCACCGGCAAACATGTAGCTTAGATCAGCAACCCTGGAAGTGTTCCAGCTGGATAGACTCTGATTAAACGCCCAAGCGCCATAGAACATCCCTTGCATGCTTTGGACTCGAGATGTGTTCCAGTCACCAATGGGCTGGTTGAAGGCTGACGCACCTGGAGTGATAACAAAGCAGTTGCAAACTACTCAACCGCAAATATATGCTGGTTTGGGTGCTCTAAGACTCTAAGAGTCTTTCCAGATCTGGAGGTGCGGAGGGATTTGGCCTTATTCAAACATGACATATGGCCACATGTGAATCCTGTTAAAAAGTGAAATGTGGATCAGTGGATCAACAAAAAGTTGATTGAACATGTGTTTTGTCTCATCCCAATCCAAACCTGCAAACATCCAGCTCATATCCACCACCTTTGAAGTGTCCCAGCCAGCGATCGATGAGTTGAAGCTCGAAGCCCTTGCGAAGGCCATGCTCAAGTCGACCACTGAGCTCGTGTTCCAGGCGCTCAAGTCTTCCTGAAATGGCCCATATGAGCTTTCTCCGCAGGGCGGAAAAAGATGGCGATGGCGTTTAATAGAATGAGACGTCTTCGGTCTTCGGTGGTTTCAACTCATTCTTCCCTCCCAAAATGGCGGGCGGGTGGTCCGATTGACCACGGGGCTTCAGTGGAGCAGTGAATGAGACTGTATCTGACTAATCTGATATCCTTCTGAGATCGAAAATCCCGGGGCAAACGCAGAAGTCCACGTTTAAGCGCGTTCAAAACATGGAGTCCGCTGTGGTTTTCACGCGCTGTGCTTTTTGAAAACGCACGTCCCCTCCTAATCTTCCCCGACAAATGAGCGTTTCACTGTCCAGATTTGCCAAACATCTTCCAGTGCGTCACTTGAGGGAGAGAAGTGAGCTCTCTTTCCTCCCCGGCACTTTTGGCTAGCTGGGCTACGGCAACCTCAATGCCCCAAGCCATCTACAAATCACCCTTCCATCCTAAAAAAGGATTCAAGCAAAAATGACTGACTTCCTCATTTGAATCCCTTGCAACAGCGTCTCTACAAGCCCTCAACGTCCAGGCCAGGCTCTCGCCCAGGTAGGCTTCCCTAGGGCTCCAACCACATCCTCAGAAGGTAGTTAGACCCCCACACCCTCCTGAACCACTCAACCGAAGCGGAGGCAATTGGAGCACGAACCGGACTGTACACCGAGCATCATTGAATCGAACCAGCTCCTCACGTGCTGAGTTGGCCAAAAGGAAGGACAAATCGATGGGAAGAATCGATACACTGTCTAAGAGTTTCCATGGAGGTGCCATCGGCCATGCCATCCAGTGTCATGATGATTTCAATCAGTGTACAAATTTCAAAGTCTCTGCCCTGCAAACTGCTGACTCTTAACTTTTCGGGTGAACATGAGAAGAAAGCAAACGACGATTCCGTAGCTCAACATGTTCCTGCAGGTGCATCTAGTCAGGATCTCGCCATCTTGCAACAAACATGCTGCCATTCTGGTCAGCGGGGTTTCCGGCCCAATGGCCCATGGCAGTTCATGCTCTTTTTCGGAGGCCAGGACTCCTGGAACAAGCCGCTCATGTTCGTGACAGCCGACACCTCCCAGGTCGAGATATGTCCCGCATCGGCCAGCAGCTGCTCACGGCCTTCGGGCGACTCCCACTGCAAGACCGCGGCACGCAGCTCGGACCTTGGTGAAAGGCACTCGTGTTCACTAGTGTTTGTTGGGTCATCTACCAGCACCCTGCTGTATAACTGCAGCAGTCGAACTTCAAGCTCCATGCCGGAGACCTGCTGGAGACCTGCTACGGAGTTGTTGAGGTCATCATGATATTTTCTCCGGCATCTCAACACATTCCTCCAGTCAAGCACAAAACAACCTTCTGGAAATCTTGCGGGCCCAAATCCACCACGCAGACTTGGGTGCAGAATTCCTGAAGAAGAGGCACTGTCGGCTCGCAGACTTGGGGTGAATCACTGCGACCCTCCGCATTCCAAAGGTCCTGATCATCCAGTGCTGTATGTATACACTCCAATTCCCCTCAATCTGTCTACAGGTGAACCCAACTGTCCATCTGTCCATACTTGGTGCAGAAACCAATCCCCCCAAAAAAAAAGTTACATAAAGGTTATCCACTTTTCCTGGGTAGGTCTAAATTGGAGGAGATTTCATCAAAAGGAGTCCCAATTCCCAACCTCACTCCTCAACGCTGCCCCAAGCTTCGCCGGACTTTCGCGGAAGGTGTTTTCCTGCCCAGGCACCGGTGGCGGAAGATGCGCGGAAGGCCCTGGCGGCGGAGGACGGCGGAAGCCCCTCGCGGTTGGAAGGTCAATGGAAAAAGCTCTCGGAAACGACAACGAGAAAGCTCTGGACTCCCCTGGCGATGGCGTTATAATGTCCTCACACAAGAAGACATTGTCTTCTTGAACATGGGTTGATGTCTTCAATCGATCTGTGCTTCTCCTTCATGGTGTGTATCCTTGTGATGCATCAAAATTAGGGAGTCAAATGAACCTCGAAATGGACATGTCCCCCGCAGGTCGTTCATGCCGTGAATTCGCCTCCAGGTTCTACGACGAGAGCAGCAATAATACAGTGTTCGAAACTGAGTGACCTCACCAACCACCAAAAAATATGATCTTTTCTTGTTTCCTATCAAAACAGGGGTCCAATGCACTCTAGGCTTTTAGAAATTGACAGACCACCCTTGAGACAGGCTAAGCAGCTTGAAGTCACGCCAGCTGCGCCCCGCCAAAACAAGCAGTGAAAAACGGTACTCCAGGAGCCAGGAAAACCATGGAAAACCATGTATTTTCCGAGTCAAACAAGCACCCGTAACCATGGTCTCACTTCGTCTCCCGAGAAAAAAGAACGTTGCAGCTGCACCTGGATCGAATAAAGCTGCAGCGCCAGGACAATGCCAGCAGTGCCGCGGCGCATCCGCTCAGCAGTGACGCGGCGCAGACGCGGTGTCTGCGCCGGCGATGTCTGTTTTACATGTTTTTTCCCATCATTCCCCAGGTGGTGTGGCTTTAGTCTATGATTGGGTGGTTCACTCCCAAGAAACATCTCGCTTGACATTCCATTCAGTTTCCATTGCTCCGTGGAGGTTTCATCTTCACCTCCAGATCTGCAGCCTTGTCCGTTCGCTTGACAGGCTGTCCCCCTGGAGCCCAGTTCGCGGATCGTCCCGAGTTCACCACGGCTGACTCGTCCCATCTCGGATCGGACTTTGATCGGGTTTCCAAGGCATGTTTAGGGTTAGAGCCGGATTCGGAAACTAATCGGTCGGATTCTGAAACTAGGGTTCTGAAGCTGGGGTTCTGAAACTAGGGTTCTGAAACTTGGATTCTGAAACTGGTATTCTGAAACTGGGGTTCTGAAACTAGGATTCTGAAACTGGGGTTCTGAAGCTAGGATTCTGAAACTGGAAAGTCAGATTCTGCAACTGGTATTCTGAAACTGGAAATTCAGACTCTGCAACTTGCCTTCTGAAACTTGCAACTGGTGATCTCCACATCATGCGATAGCGTGTGTGCCTGTGACATCACCTTCGAAGCACATCCAAACCAACGTCATTAGCCCCCCACCCAACCCCCCGACCCCCCAACCCCCCCTTGTCCCCATCGTGTGATCTCGACATCCCTCATCATTCACAAAGTTGCGGAATCCTAGTGAGGGAGTCCACAATGTTGCGGAATCCTAGTTGCGGAACGCCAGTTGCGGAATCCCAGTTGCAGAATCCTAGTTGCGGAATCCTAGTTGCGGAATCTTGACAAATCCTAGTTGCGGAATCCTAGTTGCGGAATTCTAGTTGCGGAATCCTAGTTGCGGAATCCTAGTTTCAGAATCCCAGTTGCGGAATCCCAGTTGCGGAATCCGACCAAACAGTTGCGGAATCCTGCGCAGTTGCGGAACTCGACTTTATCCGCATGTTTAGGACTCCAAGCTCGGGCCTGGAGGTTCCTGGCCTTGAGAGTCAGACACAGCATTTTGCACAGCGAAACCATGGATTCTTTTTCAGTCGCCTCAGCAAAAGGCCTGGCTGGGCTTCCAGGGGCACCAATCTATGGTCAGTTAGCGCTCATTGGCGCGAGCAGAGCGGATGGCTTGTTCTCTACCTTGAACCGAAAGATTGGGCCATCTCACTTGCATTTGGATGGAGTCCCCTAGCAGTCTCGCTGCCACCAATCTGGTCGCTCCAAACCTCAGTGTTCTCCCGGAGTGGTCCAGATAACCAGCTGGGTAAGCCAGGTATCTTCCTTCTTCGTCGCTGGAGGTCTTCTCACCTGGTTCCCGATCTCACTTGCTTCGCTCGGAGAGATCCTGATCTCCAGGTCGCCGCGACCCGCGGCGCTGAAGCGCCGCGGAGCCGTCATTCCTCTGTGCAATCAATGAGTCGACGTCCGGCGGAGGCATTGACCGGACGACGGACACGCTGTCTGTGATGAATTGAACAAACTCGGTTCTTAAAAGAAACAAAAACGATCTTTCACGGTAGAAGTCTTATTCCATTCTTTGGGTGAGCAACTCATAAAGGGTCTGAAGTTCACAACTAAGATGCCAAGGTTCTTTTTCCCAGTCACAGCACCGGAGCGACAAATAGTGCAATGGGCCCCGTGTTGGGCAGGTCAGTGTGTCATCCTCAGTTGCGACTTGCCACTGAGTTGGCCAGGAAAAGGACATCAATTCTCCAACTGACGCTCAAAATTACTAGGTTCAAAACAGCAAAAGGCTTCAGGCTACCCGAAGAAACATGTACAGTATACTGTATACTGTTAGTGTGATGTCTTCTCTCGTTCGCTTGGCGCTGTGTGCCTTGGGACAGGTCTTTGGGAAAGGACTCATATATAAATTTGTGCAAACCAAAAGGATACTGAACATACCTCCACAGGTGAACCAGGATCCGCCACATCGGCAAGAGAATTATGTCGCTTTTTTATGCAGTTTCCTGGCGCTGACATGTCTTTGTCCAATGTGCAGCCAAGGAAACGTCCGACTCGCATGAACCGGATGAAGACGAAGAGGAGGCTGGTGATGGAAAAGCGGCTGGAGAGGCTACCTGGCGTATTTGATGGCTCCCAAAAGAAGGCTAACCTGCGCGGCCCTGGCTGCGCACCAGAAGAAGCTCTTCTTGCACCACCCCAGGACCCATGCCCCCAAGGAAACCATGGACTGGCACCGGCCGACGGCGAGCCTGCGAGCCTTCCCGGTCCCCAAGCGATCCAGAAACCCTCCTCCGGACCATCGCAGAGGATGCCAACTGGATGATTTCAAACAATCCGAAGCCAGGGACCCTCTCTTTGATCATCATACATGGGTTAGAAATGGTTAGAACCTTTTCTCAGCATGGGTGAAACCCTTTTCCTTTCTCGTTGTTCAACCTGCCTGCACCTTTTCTGCCTCTTGAAGTATGGTCAACTCTGCCTGGCCTAGTGGCTACAGTAAAGTGGGTTATTTGAAAGTTCGAGAGTCTAAAACCCTCTCAATTGATGCCATTGATCTCTTCATCCAATATCTCAAAGTGCTTGTAATGCTCCCTTGCTCCGCTGTAACTTGGCAACTGTCCGAGCTCCAAAACAAGGATCGCCTGACAGCATCGCACCCGCACCTGAAGCATGGCAGCATTTTCGTTGGAGCCTTGACACTTGCGTGCAGTGTTGATCAGCTGCTGGAATTGATCTCTTACCACCTCCTCAGTGCACAGCCTGCCGACCCAGGCAGCCTGCCTTACCCATGCCCAGGCAGGAACATGCCAAAAATGAAGGGAAGACCGAGGCTCCAAGGGTTCGAGGAATCAAAAGGGTGCTGAATTGAAATCCCGCTGAGCAACAAAAATTGAACCAAAAGTTGTCCAGGGATCTGCGCATCGCATATTGTACTGGAACCTGACCAAACGGACCCTTCGAGCAGCAGCAAGGGACATGAAAACATACTTTGGCACGGGACATGGGCAGGTGACATGCCGGAACCCGTGGGAAAAAAAGGATCGCCGTCCGGAACCGGTGGTGTCATTGGTGGCAGACTCACCCTCCTGATTTCGGCCGTGCCCCCGCTGTGTTTGACACGCCCGACCATCTCCCCTTGCTCAACAAGTGGCACCAATCCAGCGAGCCATGACATCAGTCACATGCTCGTTCACTTGCTGAAAGGTGCTGCTCTCCTGCACGCGGGACGCGGAAAACGCGGTACGCGGGGGGCGTCGCACGCAGTGCTCCGCGCCGGACGAAACGGCGGGGACGTCGGAGGACGGGCGCCGGCTCGCCATGTTCAAGCAAGCTGGAAGGCAACATCCCCCGAAAGCACATGAAAGGATGACCAGAGAAAATGAACTTCTGTAGAACAGCAAAAAGAACGTGACTTTCCAAGCACGCATCCTCACACCCTTGAACCGCTCCACAAGGTCTCCCTCACCGCACCTCCCCAGTGGATCACGCTCCTGGATGGCGCGCTTCACGTGGATCTCGTCCACCCGGGCGTGGGCCGTGGCATGCTGCACATCGATGCAGCTCACAGACTGAACGATCTCCCGAATTCCCGCCTCAGCTGACAGCAGCGAAAGCGCGTTTAAAACATTGCGTGTTGGAAGCAGCGAGTGTGAAGTGATCTTTCAGTTTGGAGGTTCACTCTGAGGCAATCTAATTGATCTTTGGATTTGGGGGGGGAAGTCGAAAAAGACGTTCACTCTGAGGCACCTTGCTCGAAAGAAGCAAAGTTCATGGGCCCCCCAAACTGTGGGCTTTGGTCACCGTCGGCCCCCGAATCCTCCGTCGCTCGTTCCTCCGACATCGCGCGCCTCCCCTCGACTGATCTGCTGCTTCAGCGATTCGTTGGCGGAGACGGGCATGGTGAAGGTCACATCTATCTGGCAAAACGCCGGTCTCGCCGTTGACGGCGTCGCTTCCATTTTGAGGGGTTGGGTGGCGAGACTCCTTAGTAAACTGCGATATGCGTAAATTGATAATATGATAGAGTCACGCGTCCCAGGTTTTCTGAACACTTCCAATCCAACAAGTTCCGCCATCGCCTCCTCCTCTTTGCTTGCCACAAACTGTTCGTAGATCGTCCAGACCCTCTTAAGGTAGATCGGATCCTCATAGCAGCTGCGTTGATTTTTGTAGACCTCCAACCACAGGTCCATAGGTGATTGGAGCCCCCCCTGGCCACCCCATCCACCATCTCTGAAACGGAGAAGCGGCCAGGAACCCCAATATGATGACTGACTTGGGATTCTCTAATTTCAGCGTATTTTCCGGTAATGTTAAAAGAAACTACTAGCAACAAAGGGCATCGCCAATAGGAGCAAGGGCGCTACTAATGTTCTCGAAAGATACGAATACTTCAGCGTATCTCCGGTAGCTTCTTAGTCCTTAGCCTCCAGTATATATTATCCGGATCGCTGTATGGATCGTCGTGACCAGAGTTGCCGCAAAAAAAGTCGGGTCTGAGCGCAGGCGTGGGCAGAATTTCAGAAAAAACAAAGAAGCCCCAATAAGTTGATTTTCGAAGTAACCGAAAACTTTGGTTTAGATGGTTTAGGCGCTCAGCAGACAATTTCTGGTTCTGTGGTGTAAACATCACATGTACCGCCTGTACGAAGCCATTTCTTGTTCGAGAAAATGCTGTTTTTGCTTGTGAGGGTTATGCGCCCAAGCAGCGCCTTTTTCCATGGCGGATCGGTCACGGTCGTTGCCACCGATCAACCCATGGTGGTCTGAGCGGCTGCAGGAGGTGTTGTTGCAGCATCACCGTCCGGAGAATCTTCCGGTGCCGCACGACGGCGATCTTGAGGACAGCGAACTGGCAGGCTATGCCGGAGGTGCTGGCAAAGGTCGAGGTGCATCGACCGGAGGGAGGCTGTTCGTGACTCCACCCAGCAATCGCATGTCCGAGGGCCGCGGGAATGGCGGTGGGAAGCTGTCTGAAGGGGTGATGGATGATGTGGGCGACAATGACCCACCACAGCCAAAAGTCCTCCACGGTCTATGGGCCCTATGCCACCAGAACCCAAGAAGGAGATCAGGTCAAAGGACCAATCCCAAGGAAACCTGCAAAGAGCCATTGAAGCAGAAATGGTCGCTTTCCTTCGCGAGCAGAACGAGCAGTTGCTTTCGGAGGTAGCGACTTTGAAGCAAAAGCTGGCTCAAGAGGTTCCGTCGTCGACGAGTTCATCGTGGGTTCAGGTGGAGGAGTCGGGTCGCACGAAGCATGGGGCCGATGACCGTGTTGATCGTGTGGGCGGGGGCTGCATGAATGACAAAAGATCTTCATCCAAGAGGGGTGGTGAGGGACCTCGGACTCCTAGGGCAGGCTCGTCGGCTTCACCAGGATAGAGTTCTCGCTCATACAAATCTGCCCACTCTTTTCCACCAGGGCGGAGGTAGAATGCGTTTCGAGCATCGAGCCTTTCCTGGTAAGTCGGGCGAGTGGCAGCCACTGGGAGTCACCGTTGCGATGGTGACCATCTGAGGTCTCATACCCCCGGAGAAAGCTGCTCAAGTCAGCCAAGTCACTAGAAGCCGGAGGTCCAAACGGTGGTGCCACACCCCAAATGGTACTCAAGTCCCAGATGGACCGCCTCCGCAGCTGCCTGAAGTGCCGGCGCCACCGTTTGGACCTCCGGCTTCTAGAAAATTGGCTGAAGTGAGCAGCTTTCTCCGGGGGTATGAGACCTGATGGCCACCATCGCAACGGTGACTCCCAGTGGCTGCCACTCGGCTTGAGAGAAGGGAAGGCTTACGAGCCTCGTGGACCTGTGTTTGAGCCTCCTCATGCGGACCGTGCGGCTCGGCTTGAAAGGAAGTGGAAGTTTTGAAGGCCTCGTTGGAAAGGCTTCAAGAAGCATCGCATGGTCCGGGTCGCACTTCGTCGGGTTCACATGCTGTTCAACCACCCTCGGGGTCTGAAGAGAAAGCTTTTGGTCTTCGGGGTCATGACCTACAAGGGCTTTTTGGTAGAGATCATGGAGGGGATTTTGGTACTGGTCATGGAGATCATGGTCGCGATGGAGTATGCCCTCCGGATCTTGATCGGGTATGTCACCCCAACCCATGGTACTCGGGTTCTATGGATCCTTCAACCAACTTTGTGGGACCCTGTGGTGGTGGCCCTGATGTTGCTGGTGAGTCGGCTTTTCTCTTCGCTGGCGTGGGGATGGTGGGTCGACCTCAACGGTTCCATTGCCCTGGAATGAGGGCACAGGAAACAGCAAGGCCGAGTTGGCCGAACTCTCAGCGCTTCACCGCTGGAATTGGGGGACTGGCTCGCAGTGAGTGGTCCAGTGCTGCGTGATATTTCAGCTGTGAGCGCTCGGTGGTGGAACCTGACATTGCGTAAAGCTCAGGTTTACTATGATCGTTGGAAGACATCGTCACCACTGGAGCGTGTGCAAATCACACCAAGACTGCCGGATGAGTTGATGGACAGTCGGTATCAACGCACTGAACAACGTGGTGTGAACCTGCTTCTCCGTGCCATCCCTTCGGACCAACAGCAGGCTTTGATTACAGCCAGGGAGTTCCTCCCCACCACTTCCCGCCATGTCCACTTCACCCGCTGAACTGACATCCACGGCATTGCTTTTTCGTTTGCTGGTGAGATATCAACCCGGAGGGTCAGGTGAAAAGGCCAACCTTCTTTCGAAGCTCACCACAATGGACAAGGCCGCAAATGTCACAGAGCTGGCGGCCTCACTACGGTCCTGGAGACGGCATTTTTCTTGGGCTCAGGAGATTGGAGCCATTCTGCCTGACGGAACGCTGTTGTTGAAAGCATTGGAGCCAGCCGTGAGTCAGATTGCTTCAATGGATGCCCAAGCATCATTCCGGCTCGCTCAAAGTCGGTTACAGTTGGCGGTAGACCAACAACCTCACCATGACCGCATTCGCCGGTTCAGTCAATGCCTGCTCGCTGAGGCTGAGACGCTGTCCTTGATGAATGCCACCCCGCCCTCTACAACCACCCCGATCAAGGTGAAGCAGATGGAGGGTCCTGGCAAACAATCCAGTCGGGTGGTGGCTCCACCACAGACAAAGGCAAGGGTGGGTCCATGGCTTCTACCTCCTGCAAATACTTCCGGTCTGATGCTGGATGCAAGGCCCGTAAGGCCTGCAAGTGGTCTCACTCGGACCATCGCAAAACAGAGTGCAAGTTGAAAGCCCATGGCAAGTCGGGCTCGGGCAAAGATGGTCAGCGCTCCACAAATGAACCCGGTCCGGGTCCAGAGGGAGGGAAGACCAAATCCGCCTCCTCGTACAATGTTGCTTCCACTTCGTCCACCGGCAACACTTCTTCTTCGGGTCCAGTGAAGATTCAGGAGATGGAGGCGGGTGTGGAGGGAAACCAAGGGGTCCAAGGAGGTGATCAACCATCGTCTGACAAGGGCGGTGAAACAGGGGCGACCTCTACAACCAGTGAGGCGTTGATGCAAGAGGCGACCAAGTTGCTGAAGTCTTTGCGGGCTCCACAGTTGAGAGCGATCCAACTCAGCCAATTGGATCATGAAGTGAAGGGTATGGTCAGGCCAGCTCGCAGTCCGCAAGAGTGGCAAGAAGCTACACCAACTCAGGTGACCTTGGCGGACGGCATCACTGACAAGCTACGCCTGAAGCAAGATTCAAAGGTGCTCTTGTCGGCTCCAAGCGATGAAGAATGGAGTCAATCGTGGATCATCCCGCTCGGTGGCATTGCTGAGTTGGGGTACAAGTTTGAATGGAAGAATGCCCTTTGCTCCTTGTCGGATGAAGAAGGGCGGGAGCTCCCAGTAGTGGTTCATCATGGCTGTCCTATGGTCCCTCGTGATGTTGGCCAAGCGATGATTGACCGGTTGGAGAAACAGCAGATCAGGCTGCTTCGAAAGGCCCAGCTGCTGAAGTCAATGATGATGGACCCTTCCGTGGAGATGATGCAGTCCATTCAACAGTCCAAGGAGATGGCCCTGACGTACAAGTTGAAGACCTTGTTCAAGGCCTTGCCGGATGACATCCTGATGCGGGTCATTCCTGACCTGACTGATCTTCAAAGCATGGATGGCAACCGCCTTCCTTGGAACAGGCGCAAGCGCCGCCGCCTGGAGCGGGCCAAGCAGATCGTGGTTCACCTGTTTTCTGGTCCAGACTCCAAGTATTGAGAGAAGACAATCCAGCAAGGCAGCGTGGAGATGCTATGCATTGATGACGGAAAGCGATGAACATGGTAGGTTTTGCGGGGGGGAGTTAGGGGGGTGAAAATCTCGAGATCGTGATTTGCATACTTTTTGGTGGCTTGAAGCAGTATGTTGAAGTTAACGAAACACTGTAAAATACAGCACAAAATAAGACTTTTTTGCATCATTAGTGCAATGTCTTTTTGGCAAACTGGGTCAGCACTTTTCACAAGGGCATCGGATACACAAATGACAGACAAAGTGCTAAAAATGTCGGGGGCATTCCACAGCATCACTTGCATCACTAAGAGGTGCATGGGAGGCACAAAGGGCACAGAAGAGACGGAAACAAAGCAAATCAATTTAAGATGAAAATTTTTGACGCCAAGGCCCCCAAGAAGACACAAAGTGCACAGAATGGACACAAGCAAGGCAAACCCTTCTGAACAGAATGGAA